CATTTGTAGGCTACCTTGCTGGGGAGGTAACCCCTGGGTAACCCCTAGGTATACCCTACGTATACATTTGTAGGCTACCTTGCTGGGGAGGTAACTCCAGGGTGACACACAGACCAAGGAGAATTCAACAACCTGCACCTCTTCCATAGTAACGAATGGAGTCGTCGGGATGACTTATGTGCGGTCTAGTTGTCATTGCTCCTTATCTTGGGGGGTTGATGCATTTCTGCAGTTCATGTTCCGTCCATGTGTCTTGCATTTCACACTTGTGGTGTTAGGCTTCTAGCACCTAAGAGTCATTTTTTGTTGTGTATCTCCGTGTCTTATGATCTGAGGCCGTTGTCCCACTTGTGCTCATGAATGACGGAGTTCATGCAGCTAACATGTGCTTTTTTTTAATGCCCTGCAGGTTCAACTGTTAAATTGGTTGTTGAACCTGCCTTTGGATTGCAGCCATGTTCATTGCTGCGCCCGCCCAAACCGCCGCTACCGCTGCACAGAGCCAGGCAGCAATGCCCCCTTTGTGGCCTCTTTGCGTTGATAGCCATCATCATGCCCCCACTGAGTCGCCCTGGCCGACAGCGACAGCGACTGCTTCATGGTTTTCTATCCCTGCACCACCAGCAGCAACTGCTCGGCTGCTTTCTGTGCCTGTACCGCTTCCCCACCACCCGCAAACTCTGGCCCTGCTGCCGTCTCTGCAACCTCCTGTGAGTTTGACATGCAGCAAAACGCATGTGCGCCCTTTGTCGCACCCTGTTGCTGTTGTTGCACCTTGTTCTGTGGGCAATGTTTCGCCGAATACGTCTGCCGTGCAGCCTTTGACTTTGACTCCTCCGCCTGTCCATGCGTGGCCACCTTTCGTGGACTCGTCATGGAAGCGTCATCTGGTTGCACACTTGGGAACGCAACAACCATCTGCATCGCCACCCTCACGGACTCCTGTTGCTGCACGCTTCTTTCCACGGCAACCGCGCCAACTGCCCCGTGCACCAATGCAGTCATTGCAGGATGAGCTCAGTGATGTGGTTCAGACACTGGAACAGATGGCTGCATATGTCCAACAGGTTTGGCAGAGGATTGACGAGGACCCAACGTGGGCAAAAGCTTTGTCTGGTGCTCTGCGATACTTTCGGTCACCGTCAGCTGTGGGCAACACCAAGGACGGCACTTTTATCGGTGCGGCGTTTGGGCAGGACCTCTGTAGATGGCCTGATTTAGCCATGCTGCGTCAGACTGCCCGTGGTGATGTGTGGGATGCGGGTCCTACTGCGTCCGCGTTCCTGAAGTTCACCGAGGCACAGAGAGCTAAGATGAGGGCATTGAACAACTTGCTCCATGACATCAATGGTGGAGGACTACCTTCCATCACAGAAGGGAGTGGCGCAGGGAGCAACGAGTTTCCTCCGAAGATGACACCTGTAGGACCCACCTCCATAGGAGGGCAGATGAAGGCTCTGGGATGCCCTTCCCCTCCTAGTTCCTTTGGTGCTCTTCAGGACAATGAAGCTGAGAGCTCACTCGTGGTGCAACATTACTCGCACGATGATCAGGACCTGGAGGCAGTGTATGTCGTCACAGCTGGCGATACTTTTGACAATGTTGATGACTTGAAAGCAGCCTTGAGGCAATCTGCCATAACTTTCAAGTTTGAGTTTTCCATCACAACGTTTTCTGCAACACAGTACAGTGTCCGTTGTTGTAATAGGAAGTGTCGATGGCAGCTGAACGCGACCGTCTGCCGCGTATCGGGACGTTGCAATGTGATAGAGGCCACTGCTCATGCCTGTTCTGGGACCCATGGCCATTCAAGTGGACGTCCACAAATACAGCAGCAGGTAGCCAAAGTACGGGGTTCACCGCCGCCAGGTAAACGAGGTTACACTGGCAAGGATTTAGCTCATGATGAGGGTGCCTGCTGCATCTTGAACAGAACAGCGCTGCGGGCTCCTGACCCAGTGTTTGCATGTCAGGTCCACCACATGCGCGGGCCAGCAGAGCAGGGTTATGCAGATCTGCGAGTATATTGTCGCATGTTGAGAGAGCATAATCCTGGCACTATTGCTTCTGTGGAGTGTACTCCGGGCAGCAACGTGTTCCTTAGATTCTTTTTTGCATTTGGAGCATGCCTGACTGGCTTTCGACACTGTCGCCCTGTCATTGCTTTGGATGGCGCTCACCTCTCTGGGGCGTACCCTGGTGTGCTCCTGGGCGCAACGGGTGTGGACGGAATGGGTCGTCTTTTCCCAGTTGCATACGCCATTGCACCGTGTGAGAACCAGGACCACTGGACATGGTTTTTGCAGTCTTTGCGTGAGGCATTGCAGGGAGTTGACGACAAGGACAGGACGATGACATTCCTGTCAGACTACCAGAACGGCATTGCGGAGGCGGTGGCAACAGTCTATGCTGATGGCTCCCACAGATACCGTATGCGGCATCTCATCAAACACCTAAAGTGTCGCTTCAAGCTGGAGGGGCTTTCCAGTTTGATGATGGATGCAGCACGAGTACCCTTAGAAAGCAGTTTTCAATCTGTTATGTGGAAAATCAGGTCTCTTGACCCGGCGATCGTGCCTTGTCTGATGGAGCTGGCACCTCCTTGCCATTGGGCTGCAGCACACTTCAAAGGTGCACGGTACGACCTTCTCACCTCAGATGTTGCCGAGTCAGCGAACAATGCCTTCCTTGTAGCTCCCTGCCAAACACCCATTCCATTGTGTCACACCGTTTGCTGGATTGTGAGTGGGTGGATTCACAAGCGCAGGAAGGAGGCCCGCAATCTGAGAGGGCGCACCACGCCATGGTTGTCCCAGCAATTGCGGGAGACAAAGGAGCTCGCCCGCGCATGGACGTCAGTGCCAATTTATGGGTCGTCTGTCTTTGAGGTGAGGCTCCGGTTTGGTATCGGTGGGTATGTGGTAGACCTGGATAACCGGACGTGCTGGTGTGGCGAATGGCAGGCTCGAGGATGGCCCTGCATGCATGCTGCATGCACGCTGGTGTCATGCAAGGAGCGACTCGAGGATTGGTGTGACCCTTACCTGTCTGTTGAGCGGTTGAGGTTCTCATATGAGGGTGCTATCCTGCCAGTTCCAGCTGCAGAAAAATGGATACCCCTTCTTGATGAGACCAAGGTGATGCCCCCTCCACGAAGGAGTCTGAATACTGCGAGGCAGCCTGGTTTACAGCCACCTCAGCCAAAGAATCCTGCAGGCCATCAGCCCAGAGGGCAGGTGGAGCGGCAGGTACGCACACACCGATGTAGCTGCTGCAGAAAGGTTGGCCACAACAAGAAAACGTGCGCACAGCTCCCCTCCTGCCGTCGCACAAAGCCCGTGAGCACAGCGAACGCAGTACCTCCCGGCGCTGCAGTTGCCACGCCCATCGATGCTGGACGGGTCGCAGGAACAGGGATGGTGCCATGACTGCTTCCCAGGCTTGCTACCTGGTCAATTTGTCTCAGCGGATGGAAGGTATTGTGAGCTACTTGTTCAAGGCTGTCCTTGTTGTCTTGTCACCATGTGTTTGGGCATCACTGGATACGTGTTCGAGGTTGCCTTTTTGGTCTTTTTTGTGTGTGTTCGAACTTTGAGGTTGTCTCTGTTTCTTCCTCTTTGTGTGAACACTGTATATACTATATACTGCATAGTACATACTATTGTAATATGCGAGGTTTGAGCCCATGGCAAGGCTCTTATACTACATAGTACATACTATTATAATATGCGAGGTTTGAGCCCATGCAAGGCTCTTCTCGGGCATACACACGTTCTGGGCTTAAGCCCCCGGCATTCGAGTTCATTGTATTGCTCTTATTGGCTGTATCTCGGTGCATTGTGATTTCTCGTTTGTGTACGACCATCTGGGTTACTTCGTGATTTTGCAATTTGGTTTTCTGTCTATCACTCCCGCTCATATTCCTTGCAAAGTCCCCAGGCTGCCCGTCTGGGGAAAGGTCGTCCGGGTACCCTCCTGGGCGGCCCGGGCCGGGCAGGGTCCCGGGCAGCCTCAGCGCACATCCGTTATGTGGCATTGGAGTTACATCGCTAATCTTGGCTATAATAAGACCTCCTAATTGTAAACCACGTAAGGCCGAAGGCTTTATAATTGGTTGAACGACGAGATCCTTTATGGACAACCTACTAAATCTTTGAGTGAAATAGCATAACTGACGCCTTCATACATAGATAGGCATCAGAGAGCCTTTCCCGAACAAGTCCACAACGAGACGGGCACGACTTATTCAATGCCGTTGAAAATACTCGTAGTCAAGAACTCGCTGCGAAGACTCAAGCTCATCGTGAAAGGGGATCACTGGGAATAGCCAGCCCTTGGTTGAACCCTGACCGTGTCTCTGATACGCAGCTGAACAGAATACTCGTGAACGTGAGATGCTGGTGTACTATCTAATATCATCTCTTTGCGTTTATTTAACAAATAGCTTATTACTTCATTATTGAAATAGGAAGATTCTTTGTAATTCTCCCTTTCCTAGATCCGTACATGAGTCTTTGAATTCATACGGCTCGATTAGTAATTTATAAAATATATTACTTTAAAATTGAATCTAATTATAAATAAAATATTTGAAAATCATATAAAATGGAATCAATCATATATCATATATCTGGAAAAAACAATGTTGTGTAAAATTGCAGTACAAGCAACTTTTAGCTGAGGGTCCCCTCAAAATTCCTTATTAATTTTAATATAAAAATAAATGAGGAGAAATCAGGTAAAATATGCCTTTTTAAACCCCTCTAGTCACTCTTTAGAGTAACTTCACACCCCCCCAAACACCCCTGGGTGACCCACCACCGAAATGAAAGGTAAGGCCGGATTCTGACTGCTCAGGCCGAGTGCAGTCCTGGCTTGAAGTCAGTTTCTTTTTTGGGGGGATCCTTCCCTCTTTTTTTACCAGCCTGGTTTTGCCGGGTGATCCCCCCCGGCCCAGCTGGTCCGAGCATGCCTGGCCGGGCAACGAGCATGCCTGGCCGGGCAACGACCCAGCCTAGATTTATTTAATTGTTATTATATATATATATTATAAATAATATGTTCCAGAACTGACTAAAGCCGAGCCAGCACAACCTGAAGTTTGATTTCCTTTCTCTTGGTGTTGTTTGTGATTCGTTTGCATCATTGCAGATGCGGGGTGACAGCTATACATGACTTGCTACATCCTTATTCACTCATCAAGTAACACAAATATTTTATTCAAGGTAATGGCGCTCATCACTGCGTGCTGGTAGTGCTTCTGTTTTAACAGCCATTTGGTTAAAACTGTTATGATCCTGGCCAATTTCAGAGTCAATATTCATGAGAAAGTGCAATGCCATCCCATTTCAAAAAGAAATGAATGAACTTGAGAAGAGAGAGAGGGAAAGAAGAAGAAGAAGAAGAAGATGTACACCAGCAGAAACCAATGATCATTCCCTTCTTCTCACCAACCACTCTCCTACTCCTTTTCTCCTCTCTTATTCAAACAATAGATACCAAAAATAATGTTGAATGGCTGAACCAGAATCAATGTCCGAACCCCTCTTCTACTGCAGGCACATCATGAGGTCCACCATAGCCATGGCCACCCTTCTTCTTCCAATTCATATAGGCCAAGGCTATGGCGGACTACTAGGGCCTCACCCTGCTGTTCAAAGGACAACACAAAACAGCTATGCTCGCTGCTGTTCAGGCCTCCATGTCTGACTCTGCCTTGAAGCCTTCTTGGTGTGGTGCAACCCCGACTGGGGCCTTCCAGATGCAACGCCTARCAAGGTGATGAAGATGGTGCCCACCATAGCCAGTTAGATACTTCGCCACTCTCCTCCTAGCCCCCTTCTTCCTCCTCCTCCTACTGGTAGAGCTCCACGATAGCCAAGGTGGGAGCTCCCGGTCTGTTTCTTCCTCCTAGCGCTGCTCTTCCCAGCACCACTCCCTGCTCCAGCGCTCTGAAAGCTGGTGCTCGCTCAAGCAGCACGACGTCCAAACTTGCATACTGCAAACGAGGAGGAGCACTTCGCTCCTCGAGGAGATATAGCGGCCTACTTGCCTCTTGGGCGGTGACTTCCTAGGTCACGTGGCCTCCAAGCAACCGGAGGGAAACATCATTGCAGACTCTTGCAATGACTTGCTGTTTTCTGGCCGCCTGTAGCCTCTCTCTGTCGAGGCTGTACTATAGGTAGGACAGATTCACAATTCTGTTTGGCTGAGGGCTAACCGAGAGACCTACCTGTGAGGGAAATTCGTGAGGGACATATCTGCCAATTCGGGAAAATATGCAGTCCCGGTACTAACAGAATTCCCTACAGCTACCCTAACTGCGAATAGCAGGCCCGGGCTACCCCTAGGACAGACAGGCCCTGAGGGCCTATTCTGATAGACGGTCCTATAGCCTATAGCCGGGTCCGGTAGAGGCCGAGAGGCCGAAACAGAAACGGTACCGGTCGGTCAGTCAGTCCGGTCTAGGTCGAGTCTAGGCTAGTGTAGTATAGATAGGATGGGCACATCGGTTCAGGGCTTTTGGCAGTTGGTACCGAGTACATCGCCGCTGCGCTACGCGTGAACCGGAAGTGGTGACGGCTCGGCGTGGAAGGAGACAGGCATAGCCAGACCTTCGGAGCGCCGGCCATAGCTGGGACCAGCACGCAGGGGCTGACAGAGGTCTGGGCTATCGAGGTCTGCAGGAGGCGAGAGAGATTGGTGCCCTGCTGGACCCTCCTCTGGAGTGGGGTTCCTGGGTGGTGGCGCTGCAGCCATAGCTGCAGCTGCTTCTTCAGAGGTCATCTTGTCAGGGTTTGGTGGCACTGCTGCAGACTTCCACCCGGGAAGTCTTCCGACACTTCGTCATCATCAGATACTGTGGCGCTGATCTTCTTCTTCATCCTCTGAGTGGCACTTGGCCTCAGAGGCCTGTTTCAGGGTGGCGCTTCCCTCAGGAGGCTGTATCTGGGTGGCGCTTGATGTTTCAGGGGCTCGGGGGTGTTACGGGTGCTAATCAGGGTTGGGGAGTGAAGCGCTGCTCATTTCCGAGCAGCGCACTGTAGTTCTGAAGTTATCCTGACAATTCGAGACTCTGAGTTTAATAAACAGTGTATAACTGGGTTTGGATTATCATCGTTTCATTGTTTCCTGGATGTGATCTGCTCGACTTTTCTTTATGACTGGTTGTGAGGATTGAGTGGAGTGAATTGCACTTTCAGTGTACCCTGTCATATGGCATGGTTAAGTCTTCCGCTGTGTTATCTCTCCCTGTGCGGTGTGATACTCCTATCCTCTCCCCTTCCTTCTGTGTATGTATGGGCATACCTGGAAGTCGCTGTGAGTGAGTGTTGGCCTTCAGGCAACAAACAACCAGAATCATAACACTCTGATATTGCCTGTACAGGCCCTAGACTCAGACTGGTTGGACTGGTACCCGCCTACTGGGTCTCTAAAAATGCCAACTGTTGTCTTCTTCTGCTCGGCCTCGAGTACCCGGCACATCTACTTCTACTTGGTGTGGTACCGGCCTACCTGCTACTTGAGTGTTTTTCTGCTGCTACTTGAGTGTTTTCCCCCGCTGCAACCCTCAATGTCACAGCCACAGGTAAGTACCGGTCCCACGGGCCTCCCAAACAAGCAAGTACCCTTGCGGGTCACACACACTCAGGCCGACCAGCTCTCAGACAGGCACGCAGACCATCAAGCACACACACACACACACACACACACACACACACACAGACACACACACACACAGACTTAGAAAACTCAGCAGAATGCTGGAATCTCAGCAAGGCATCCATTCCAGCAGCAGAACTCAGAAATCAGCAGTGTTCTCAGTCTGTGTTTGGGGGGGTCATTACAGAATGGATATATTTTTTGTCATTGTATACATTTTGAAAGAAATTGAAACTACTGACTTATATTGGCCCTTAAAAGTGTCACCGTTTTAGTTTCTGAGGGTCTGTCTGAACTTAGCTGAAGTCCAAATACATCCAAGGGCGTCTAACATTTTTAGATGGTGACATATATAGGGCCAAAGAACTAGGTTTCAATTTTATTCAAAAAATAAAAAATGCCCGTTTTAACTTTTAAGTTTTTAACGAAACGGCTGTTCTTTTTATGTTCGTTTTTCTGTACCTGCATTTTTCTTTGTGTGTGTTGTCATATTCACTAAACACACAATGAAAGCATGACTTGGCCAGAGTCGGCCAGACTGTTTTGTCTGACTTTCACTGACTCATCAGGAGGTTGAACCCCAGCAGTCTTCCCATGATGTGTGTGTGTGTGTGTGTGCGTGTGTGTGTGTGTGCGTGTGTGTGTGTGTGAGTGTGTGTGTGTGTGTGTGTGTGTGTGTGTGCGTGCGTGCGTGTGTGTGTGTGTGTGTGTTACATGCTGCACCTGCAACAGGCTGCACGGGCCATTTTCAGGCCCGTGTCGTTTTCAGCCCGAAAGCCTGAAAACAAGGGCCTACAGGCCCTGTGTCGTTTCAGCCTGAAAGCCTGAAAACAAGGGCCTACAGGCCCT